AGACAAAGTCTGAGCTGTTTCAACTGAAATAAACTTGCACTGATTGATCTTGAAATATGTCAGTGCCCTTGTTTTGTCTCAAGATGCACACCAGTAATGTTTTTTAAAAATCACGTTTATAAAAATTACTTTAAAATCCTAATTGAACTTTGGCCTAGTCCTGGTTTAAACTAAGCCCCATCTGTGAAACCAGGCCTTTGTTTACTAAAACTTGACTAAAACTAAATAGGATAAGGTTGACTAAATATGATAAAAAGGGGGTTGGTCTCAAATGGATCAGTAGATGGTATTTTGCCTCGGCTTATTGGTCAATGTCCTGTAATGGAAGTTTCATTCGGGGTGTCAAAACCCCTTGCTTATTATACACAGGGTCTATTGGTGTCTATGGTTTCTATTCCTAACTGTTTTAATTCATTTGAAATCAATTTTAGATTATTTTAAAAGTTTTTATTTTTATGATTATTTTAATTCATTTTATGTAAAGCACTTTGAATTACCATTGTGTATGAAATGTGCTATATATAAAAAAAACTTGCCTTGCCTTGCCTTGCTTATGATCACGGAGCGTCCAGTTTCCCTACACATATGTAGTTAGCTGCAGTTAAAGGCTGCTAATGGATTGGACATTCCATATTGGGGTTATTTGGAGCTAGAGGTTGAGGTTTTGTGTAGAGTTCTCCCTAAGATGGGAGTACTAATCATGAGAGATCCTAAGGATCCCTTGACCAAGCAAAGAAAATCTCTCAGTTCCAGGCCTTCTTGGTATGAATATTCTTAATTGTTGTTACCAAGACCTTTTTTGCCAGTATGAAGGGGATTTTATTTGCCTCTGTTACAGTACAGCAGGCAGGAAAGGAGTGTAAACGAGCCCTGTTGGAATGGGACTGGTTTGGTGGGGATGGCAATTGTAAGAGTAGGATCTGCAATACGAGTTCCTGTGGGTTCCCTTCAGTGGGTCCCCACAAACTACTGTCAGAATATGGCTTGTGTTATCACTTCTGTTTTTTTGGAGCCACCAACAGGTGAGGAGGTGTTTTACCTGCTAATATTCTCATCTCAAAATGTCTTTTGCCTGTGGACCAAGGTGTAGTTCATGTCCCTATAGTAAATCTTGGAGACAGGGACCAGTGGCTTAGGCCAAAAACGTTTCTTGGTCACTTGTATATGGTCAGCTTACATCCTCTACAATCAAAAATCTGAGTGTTATATTAGACAGCAAACTTGTATTTTGAAAGGCATATGTCCCATGTTTCAAAGACAGCATTCTTCCATCTTAGAAACATTGCCAAGTAAGCTCTTGTTGCATTATAGTCCTCTACGTCTGCTATGTTCTCAAAACTCAAGACCAAGCCTGTGATGGAAATACACATTATATTACATACGTATATGTAATATTTACCACGTTTAAATGTAAAAAGAAAACAAAATATCATCACTGTCAAAAATGCTATTTGTTATTACAATATACAGTGAACTTTTCATATCAGCAGACAATATCCCATACAAAATCACCGAGATTTTTGGTGGTGTAAATTTATTCTGAAGCAATATTTTCATCAGTTTTAAATACTTAAATCTGCATATTTTTAATATTTACCACAGGATGTCATTTACCTTTATAAAGGCCAATATATATTTTTTTACCTTATTAAATGTATGCGTCATATTTCAAGTCAAATTCTTACAATTGATCAAGAAATGTAATACACTACAGGGCTGTTACCAATCAAATTAAATAATTTACCCTGCAAAATTACAACAGCAATAAACAATGTTATGAGATTAATGTTGTAAATAATATTTTGAATAGGGATGCACCGATACTGGTATCGGGCCCAATACTGAGCTCCTGTACTCGTACTCGTTAAAATGCCCCGATACCAAACGCCGATACCACACAGCATGTGATAAGCGTCATATTCAGGCAAAGAAACACCAACAACAGACAGCAGAAAGGAGTTAAGGATGTCTACTACGAAGTATATGTATGCAATGAATATAATGTTAAACATTCAGTATTAACACCTGTATAGCTGGTGTGCGCGAGCTGATGAGCAAAGCACGCTGAGTGGATTGAGCGTGCAGCGGCGCAGATGTGCGAGTTTGTCGAGTTAACATACCTTTCTCACAGACATCACTGGAAAGTTTGTAGTTCGGTCGGATATGTCATAAACAAGTAAAACAATGCACAAGTTACTTAACGGTAGTCTGAATCATTCAGTAACAAAAACACCGGGTGTGGCTTGGAGAATGTGAATGATCTTTATATGGAACTATTTTCGTTGGTGAAATAGAACAAAACAGTCTACTGTGTCTAAAAATATAAGTAACTTCATATACTTTACTACGTTTTTGTTGAACGTTTACCTCAGTATGTTTGTTCTGTGAGTTTCTTTATGTGTCGTTATGCTCATTTGATTTGATTTCTCCATGAAAGTCTCTCACAGAGCAGCACGAGCCTCAACAGTGCAACATTGATAATAGAAATACACTATCCATTATCAATCGCTGTTTAAGCTGAATGTAATAAAATCAGAAGAATCATTCGCGCGTTTTGATGCGTGATTATATTTTGTCACTTAAGTTTTAATCAGGCTATTAGTCCTGTCGGGCAAGTACAATTCTTGCGCCATTTTTCAGTAAACTTGCATGAACCCATTTAAAGTAGTTCGGAGGCTGGACAGCGAGCTGGTGTTTGACTGTATTCTGTAACCGCAATTCTCTCTGATGACGCGGTAACTACAGCGGGGGAAAAAGTACTCTTGATGGACACTCACTGGGTCTGTTAGACTGGAGACATTTTTGTGGTAAAGTGACCAAAAATATTTAAGACCTACTTAATCTGAATTTAAGACATTTTAAGACTTTTTAAATTAAGGACCCGCGGCCACCCTGATGATGTTATGATGCATGCATTTTTTATGTCCTGATTGAGCAACATCTATTTCAGACGTGCAAATGGTGTTTTACTATCATTACAGTTTCCATAGGAGTAAAAGTTGTGTACAGTATATATGTTGAATTAATTATTAATTTAACCAACATTTACATTTACATTTAATCATTTAGCAGATGCTTTTATCCAAAGCGACTTACAAATGAGAACAATAGAAGCAATCAGACCAACGAGAGAACAACAGTATACAAGCACCATGACAAGTCGCAGTTAGTCTAGGACAGTACATGTAGCTAGTTTTTTTATTATTATTATTAAATAATAGAATGGAATAGAACAGAATAGAATAGGTAAGTGCTACTATTAGTTGGTCAGGTGTTGGCGAAAAAGATGTGTCTTTAGATGTTTTTTGAAAATGGCTAAAGACTCAGCTGTTCGAATTGAGATCGGGAGGTCATTCCAGCAGCTAGGTACAGTCCAGGAAAAGGTCCGTGAGAGTGATTTTGAGCCTCTTTGGGATGGCACCACAAGGCTTCTGGAGGGCGCATAAGTTTGAACTAACGAGTTTAGGTATATTGGTGCAGCGCCAGTGGTTGTCTTGTAGGCAAGCATCAGTACCTTGAATTTGATGCGAGCGGCTACTGGTAGCCAACGTAACCTGATGAGGAGAGGAGTAACATGAGCTTTTTTTGGCTCATTGAAGACCACTCTCGCTGCTGCATTCTGGATCAGTTGCAGAGGCTTGATAGTGCATGCGGGAAGGCCCA